CACGAACACACGAATCTCCGTTAACAACATGCTCGGCCCCACCTTCCCCGTCCGTACGGGCGTCCGACAGGGCTGCCCTCTGGCACCCTTACTTTTCGTCTGTGTCATCGAGATCTTTCACCGCTACATGTCCCTCTTCCTCCCCGGCTTCGCTCTGTCCCCCGTTCAGCGCCGTCTCATGGCATGCTACGCCGATGATGTCACTCTCTTCCTCACCTCAGACACAGAGCTCGGCCTTGCAGTAATACTCCTAGGTGTTTTCGGATCCGTATCTGGGGAGATCCCCAACTGGAACAAATGCTCCATTATTCCTTTCAATATCCCCCCCGCCGACCTCGTGCACGCCGGACCTATTCCCGTCCGAGCCCCCAATGAAGCAGAACGCATCCTTGGAATTTATGTTGAACGACTACACCCCGGATCCACCACCTGGACTAAAGCGCTTGCCTGTATACAAATCACCGCCAAATTCCTAGCAGCCTTACATGCCACTGTCACGTGCCGCAAATCTCTGTCCTCGATCTTTCTGAACTTTGTCATCTCCTATCACGCCCGCTTCCAACCTGTACCACCCGACACTATCAAGCGACTAGACATATCAGTCGGGAACTTTCTCTCGTCCTCGAAACATAAACAGGATGGCCTTGCACAACGCTTCCTCCCCAACGGTCTCCTCTACAACTCACCCCAAGATGGCGGGGTTGGGGCGATCGCCCCATCTACCCAAGTCAAAGCCCTCACTATCCAGCGTGCCCTGCGCAGATTTGGACCCACCCCGTCCGAGGAAGTCACACGTACCCTGACCCCGTTCCCCTTTGGGCTTCACGGTCTGCTCTCCCATAAAGCCATCCTTGAACGGGACTATCTTCCCTCCTTCATCCCCCCGCGAGCACTGGACGAACTTAAAACCCTCCTTTCCCTCCCCCTGATAATTCATGGCCCCCCCCTACGCATGCAATGCATCCTCACCGAACCTCTCGCCTTCAACCGTTCGCTCCTCAAACCCGACGATCGACCTTTTGGCACCCGCCAACACGAGCGGTTCCTGCTTACAAGCCAGCTCCGCGTCGGACACATTGTCCGAATCACCAACTCTGACGTCAGCCCCATTTCTGCTCAAGAGTTCTGCTCCCAAGTCCCGGAGGAATTCCACGACGACGCAACACGCATCCTCCCAGATCTCATCAAAGCTATCAAGCGTCCCTGGTGGACCGCCCTCCGAACCCCTCACGTCTCCCGTGCCTCCTCCGGAGATTGGTTCATGCTCTCGGACGACCACTATTCCATCTCTCATCTAGCCCTCCGTGTCATCGCCTACATCCCCCCTTCCTCCGTCTCGGCTAATGTCTACCTCGTCTCGCCAGACCATCACATCACCCGCTCCCTAGCAACTACTGGACTCTTCCGTTTACAGGACCTCATAGAGGTGCACGTCAGGGACTGGTGGCTCGCAGGGCCACTTCATACAGGTGCAGGGTTAGGAGTTAGGATAGATCTTCTACAGGACGGCGTCCCCAGCCTCGCCGACATCCGCCGCCTCCTATACTCAGCACAACCGCTCACCCACCACAGCCGATGGACCCGCGACCTCCCCCTTCCTCCTCCTCCTCTCCCTGGCCTTAAGGACCCCTTTCTCAAAGACCAGCCGAGCCGCCAACGGGACATCCTCTTCAGACTCTACACACTCACCCTTCCCTCTGGATCACGCTTCCAATACTTTGATGATCGAGGGGTCTGCCCCCGATGCCCAGCTGCCGTCGTCGAGACGCTACCACATATCTTCTTTGAATGCTCCTCCGCCGGAAATGTCATCTCGGCCCTCCGCAGAGTCGCTGACCGCCACCTCGGACACACCACCCCCGCTGAACACATTTTCTTCCCGATACAATCACGAGTTGGACAGTCCCCCCCTTGGAGTCTACTAGTTGGAGCTGCAGTCAAGACGCTGTGGAACAGCCGCTGCGACCACAGATACCGCAACTCCTCCTCCTTGAGCTTCGAGATCCTGCAGCTGATTCTAGCACAGTTCCTCATCGCCTTCAAAATTTATATGTGGAGAGGCAGACGCCAATCTGCCAAGAAGCGTCAACGCATATCCTCTAGCATCAGGCGAGCACAGAAACTCCGACTCCTCCTCTTCGACAGGTCCGGAACTCCCTCCATTCACCCCGACCTTAGATTCTCATGGCTTCTGGGCAACCCGTTCCGACCACCGTAGCCTTCCATCGCATAGAGCGTCTCCCCAGGCTGTTGGCGGTTGTCCGAGAGGACAAGGAATAACGTGTGATCCACGTGCTCCTTTTAGGATGCTGGCCACCTCGGCCATGTTTCTAGACAGCTCTATGTTTTAACCCTTGTACATTGATTACGATCAATATATAACCTTAACCTTAACCCATGTCGAACACCACTTACGGTAAGATAAGAAGACCTGAAAACAATTAGGGTACATTCTTGCCTCGTGTCTGACATCAGGTCATCCGTCCTTAGTCTCTGATTCGCCTCTTCCCAAGTTGATTTGCCCCTATTTCGAGCCACTTCGGGTCTTCCGAGCCTCCAAGGGCGGATGACCTGATGTCAGACACGAGGCAAGAATGTACCCTTAGTTCCAAGAGCACTGCGTCAAAGGTAGAGAGTATATACAGTATCATGATATTTGGCGATTACGGGAAGGACAGCGCGACAAAGTCCAGCAATTCTACTTCTAAAATTCCTGGTGGCACGTGTCTGATTTGGCTTGGTGATGTCAGCTTGCCCTTTCTTGCACTGATGAGCCACGCGCCCAGCTGTCCTACGTGTACGTCGACAGCGTGTCCCGGCAGTTTTCCACACCCGAGAACACGATCCTTCCCAAAAACCTGCGAGCGGGATGGGCTGGTCAGGTCGGGTGAGACTGACCAGACTGGAATTGAAGTAAAGCCTTTGTTTGAATGGCTTTCCGCAACGCACGCAAAAGATTTCTCTATTCTCCGTCATGTCACGTCACTCATGGTTTGCAGAAGAGCATAACCCAGTTCAAGTGTTGTAAGTCATAAAAATGTTGTGGATTAGTTTTATTGTTTCAGTGCCTAGCAGACATTGTTCGTTAACACTTACCACCGGCACAACTATTTTTCGAGTCTCAGCTCTCCACTCCAGCCATGTTTGGCTCATGATGCTGGGACAATACACCACGTCCACCCAAGTCGAAGATGCTGTTCATCACGGCAAGTGAACAACAGCCTCTCCCACCAATCCGAAGAGAATTGCGCTCCGCCTTCCACTTCTCTGCCCATCCTCATCATTCTCCCAATCCCCTTCCAGGCAAAAATGTTTCACCTACCCGTCTGCGTGGACATTCCACACAATCCATCCATCTCGCAAAACACTCCCTCTGCCTAGCTCTGGAAAAGAATGCACCCAAACCTTGCACCGCCGCCTCCAACCTTTCCCTCAAATGCGAGCATGGGGGATACAGTACGACTATCCCTCCACCTCGAAGTACAGTACACATGTTCACCCACCTCGAAGTGTGTGTACAGTTTTCTCCCTCCCTCGCCCCTGCTCTGCACACATCCTCTGTCCCGGCCCGGTCCCCCCCTTCCCCCTTCCCCCTTCCCCCTTCCCCCTTCCCCCTTCCCCCTTCCCCCTTCCCCCTTCCCCTCCTCCGACTCCCCTCCGCTCCGACCACATGACAAGATCTCGTTTCCCTATTATGGCGCACCTTTACACGCACAGGTCCTACTTTCCTGCCAGCCCTGGGTTCTGATATTTCCCACCGACCTCCTTTTCTCCCCCCATTCCGCCTCCTGCTTGCCCTTCCTTGCTGCTGTGCAGGGATAGGTCAAGCTATACTCGCCCAGCAGAGGTGCCTTGCCAATCAGAAATGCCACTCACCTCAACTCTAACCGTCTATGGCACCACGTTGACGTCCAAATTAGTGAGTGTGGTGGGGTGAGGAGGAGGAAGGGGCTACGTCTACGCGTACTCTTTCAGTCTGCAGGAGTCCACCCCACCACCTCGCAGTTGCAACTTACCAGCTGTGCGGGGAAGAGAAGTCGTTATCATTCACCACCATCCACTCGGAAAGACTGATTTTTGAATCGACTCAAAAATCCTCCCAGTTGCACCAGAGACAACTGGCCGTAGGAGGAAGAGTAGCATAAGTATTATCCACCACCATCCATTCGGAAAGACTGCGTTGACGGCACGCATATTTGTTCCTAAAATTATTAACTTTAGAGGCGCATAAGCAGCAGCGCACCGGAACTGCAGCAGTTGGCACATTCGCAGCCATGGCGTGCGGGATGAGCTTCATGGATGCCCTTCGAGTCGCGGCAAAGACGAAAGACGCTCCGTCTGAGTGGTTCGAGCATCAACCCACGTGTCCCACGAATCCCTTCCCCAAAGATAAAACCAGCCCCGAGCCCGTTTCAGCGACGAACCATCCCATACCGAGCCTATCCATGCCGAACATCCAGATGCCGAGCCTCCCCATGATGCCGAGCCTCCCCATGATGCCGAGCCTTCAGGTGCCAAGTCCAAGAAAGCGAAGGCAATGCGGCTCGGAGACGCCTCGAAAAACCCGCTCCGAGTCGCCTGCTGCCGCAGATTATACCGATGCTTTTGCGGATCTTAACAATGCCGCTCCAAGGACTAGTAATAGCGAGGTATTTTTTAGATTTATTCAAGATCCTGCCTCTGACGCTTCCGTGGGACCCGCAGAGGGCGCCGGTTCTGCAAATCTTGACAACGCGGCTCCAAGATCTGGCAGGGAGAGAGAGGGGGGATTTCGACATGCCGAGCCTGCTACGATTTTCTGCAACGACTGGCCTGCATATTGTCGAACAGAGACGCCCCGACCTACTAGCGCCACGGCTCAAGGCGGCGCTATCACAAACGCACAATGCGGAGCCACTACTGGTACTGGACCGGCCACGAAGCGCTCGCCTCGACCGCCGCGCCGTCGCGAGACCCGTCAGCCTCCGCTAACGCCGAAGGCTCGAACTCTCGCGTGGGGAATGCGGTCGCCGGCTGCGGTGGAAGCAGATCCCGCCGACGAGTCCGCTCCTCCGCCACTCCGCTTGACATCCTCCCCCGTCTCCTCCGCCTCCCCCGCCTGTTCCGCCTTCCCCGCTTCCCCCAAGCTGCTCGTTTTGCCGGATTCCGCCTTCTTCCCTTCCCCGCGCATCCCCGAAGCGCGTTTTACCTCTCCCCGGACAAGTGCTCCCCCGCCTTTCGAGCCGCCTCAAAACACCGCTCCGCGGCCTGCGGCCTTTCGTTTCGTGGCCTCTCCGCGGGCGTGTGGCACTGCGTTGGAAGCGCCGCAAAAATGTGGCACCGCGCCAACCACTCCCTCGTGTCCGCCTCTCGTTGAGCCGCGACTGCCCCGAGCGCGCACGTGTGACGTTGCCGCGGATAGCGGCGGAAGAGCGCCCGCCGTCTCCGCGGGCGCGTCCGCCATCCGCGGAACATTATCCGCCTCGGGTTACTCCCCCGCCGTCGTTTCCCCCGCATCCGCCTGCGCAACGACTGGCGCCGTTGACCAAGTCAACGGCCACGTGTCAACATTCGATTGGGCAGAAGCGTCCGACGTGGACACGTTGGACATTCCGCCGTGGGTGCGAGAAAGGCTCTCCCTTTCCCGCGCGGAAAAGGCGCAGAATAATGAGTCGGCCGCGCACACACGAGTTAGTCGCATAGACCGCGAAACGATGGCGGACGGCAACAAGCGAGCGGGACGCGTCGAGTGCGGAGGCGAGTGCGGCAAGGAGTGCGGCGGCGAGTGCGCGGAGAATCGAAACTGCGAGAGGGACGCGGAGGGCGAGAAGCCGAGCCTGTGGGACATCATGCAGTGGGAATCCGATATGATCTCGTCCGTCTGCTCGACTGCCGCTGCTAAATCTCCCAGACCACCGTTCTCTAAGAGCTCAACATTTGAGGCGCCGCAGAAGTCGCTCTCTAAACGGCACCGCTCCGCGTCTGCTCTCCCCACCACTCCGCCTCCCACCCCGTCCGCGTCTAAAGCGTCGCTGACGGTCCAGATCTGCGACGACGCGAGCGCCAACGGCGGAGATTTATCGTTTTTCGAGGAGCTGCTGCTGGAGTTCGGTGCGGGCGAGGGGGAAGAAGCGGGCGGAGAGATGGAGGACGAACCGGGATGGGCGGAAAAAAATCGCATTCCGGCGGAAGAAACAGCTCACTTCGAGAAGGTTGCGCCTGTTGTGCCGCAGCTAGACGACAGCTGGGGTGATTATTCGGTGAAAATGGTAGATACGGGGAAAGCTGACGGCGGGGAGGGGTTAATGATCGACGGGGAGAGCATTTTTGAGCGGATTCAAGTAATGGGGGACGAGGGGGCGGAGATGGGGGACGAAGCGACGGGGATGGCGGAGGATGGAGTGGAGATGGCGGATGAGGGCGCGGGGATGGCGGACGAGGCGGAGATTCCATCCAATAAACTATCGCATGATCAGCCTGGTGCTGCTCGAAATATGTTGAGCAGTGTTCAGCTGCAGCGGAATTAGGGGGAAGTGGGGGAGGCAGATGCGGAGCAGCAGAACGGGCCGCAGAGTGGTTCACCGTTCCGTTCCGCGCATGGTTCTCCGAGTGCCCCTGCTGGCGGATTCGCGCAGATGTGGTCAGAAGCTTGGGCGGACGACGCGGACGCGGAAATACCAGGGCTGGCGCGGAGCTGCGTGTTCCGACCGTGACTAAAAAAAAAAACGTGGTGAGCTGTACGCGCTACAAGCTCCTGCCCTAATAAGATGTCATACTGGCGATGCTCTGGTTCCAGAAGTGAAGCATCGAAGTGCTCTGGTGCCACTGCTGCTGTTACACTTGAGGAGTTTCAACAACAGCGACAGTACCAGCTACGGTTACAAACCGCGTGTCGGCTGAGTTTCCCGCTACATTGTTGAGATGGTGCCGTGACATCATCACCTCCTGATGCCAGGAGGATGAGAAGAAGACAATATGATTTGTTGATTTGATTTGCCATCACCCTGGCAATGATTTGGTCCAAATACGGAGCTCTGCCTGATATTGGCTCCTCTCCACCTTCTCTCAACTCCCTACCTTGCTCTTTGCCTCGCAGCTTGCCTCACTCTTGCTTCATTCTCCCTGCCTCTTGCCTCACACAATGCCTCGCTCCTTGTGTCGCATCACCTTCAACCACCAATACTTGCCCCTCTCCCATCACTCCTCCCTTCCCCCTCTCCCATCACGCCTCCCTTCCCCCTCTCCCATCACGCCTCCCTTCCCCCTCTCCCATCACTCCTCCCTTCCCCCTCTCCCATCACGCCTCCCTTGCCCCTCTCCCATCACGCCTCCCTTCCCCCTCTCCCATCACTCCTCCCTTGCCCCTCTCCCATCACGCCTCCCTTCCCCCTCTCCCATCACGCCTCCCTTGCCCCTCTCCCGTCACTCCTCCCTTGCCCCTCTCCCGTCACTCCTCCCTTGCCCCTCCTCCCCAGACCAGCCTCACACCACACCACACCCTTGTCCTGAGTGCTCTTACGGTACTCTCTTGTGCCTTCCCTGGCACAACCATTCTTTCATTCCCCTTCAGGGAAAGGGCTTCAATGTGGCTTGATATGCACTTGCTCCGTTGTCTTGATATGGTGTTTGAATCATCTACCTGTAACAAGTAATCTCTGTTACCGTATTTCGTCCCCGGTGTTTTTGCATGAAAGAGCGGGCTGCCAGACTCTCACTGGTGCTCCATTGCGGTCAGAAACAGTTTCTGTCCCAGACAACAAGAATGTTTCGTAGCGATCTGTTAGGGGGTTTCTTCAGAGTAAGCCACAGCTTACCCTAAAAAGATGCACCCTCTTCAACAAGGCGCAGCTTAGCTTACCCTAAAAAGTCAACCAAGCTGGTGCAGAGGCCACCCCACCAGACAACCAATTTAAGCACTAAGTTATTTGAAAGCATACAGTATTACTACTGTACATCTAATGTGGGGACAGTTGACGCTACAATTTTCGACCCACTAGAGTATAATCTACTGTACCTCTACTGCTCGCTCTCAAGACCAAACGCACGAATGTAGAATTCAAAGCGCTGCTCCTCCTGCTGCTTATCCAGCATTGTGTCTTCCCACTTGTAGTGGTGCCGAGGACGCTTCTCCTGAGAGGACACAGAACAGAAGTGAGAACGGTAGGAGTGATATGAGAATAGGAACAACAGCCACTGCTCCTCCCGCTGCTTATCCAGCATTGTGCCTCCCACTTGTAGTGGTGCCGAGGACACTTCTCCTGAGACGGTTAGGAAGAACAGGAGTGAGAAAAGGGAGGAGAGAATGAGCAGGGTTTTGAAGCAAGAGGGATGGGAAAGGGAAGAAATAAATTAAGAAGAAAAACACATTTCCCCCATCCTCCCATCATCTCCCCCTCCCCTATCCCCACCTACCTTGGAGTTGGCCGCCAGGTAAGCACGCATCTTATCCGCCACGTCATCGTCCAGCTGGCGCTTGAGCAGATCTTGGTAGATGCGGCGCACCGTGGCCATCGGATCGGCCACGAGATCGCTGTAGCGCACATCAACGGCCTGGGAAGACCGCAGAGCCAGAGTGCTGTCAACTGAAGACAACTCGTTACTGCTGTCACCACTGTTGCTACCATTGCTGATGCTGCTCCTGCTTACACCATTGGGTGAAGAACCATTGCTGCTGCTTCCGTTGCTCACAGTACTGCTCACACTTCCCTCCACCTCATCTCCTTCCCCTTTCCTCTCCCCCTTCGTTACAGTCACATAACCCTTCGAGCCATTTGTACGCTCCCTCTCTTCAGTCACTTCTTCTTTCCCCTCTGTGCCTGACCCGTCAATCCCCCGCAGCCGCATCATCTCAGCCAATGCGCTTGCGACAGCTGGCACCCATGTCTGGGAGATCTGGGGGCAAGACAGAAGGGTACGGGGTTGCACAGGACATATTCACCTTTGATATGCGATGAAAGGGAGATGAGTGAGGGAGGAGGCGACATGTATATAGGTATAGCCCCTAAGAAAACGACCGACGCATGTTCACCTTTGATATTGGATATAATTGATAACACTGACAATGAAAACGATCGAAGAATGTTAAGCAAAACGATGATAAGCTCAGGTTTACCTCTGATTTATCAACATGGTCCGAGTGGATGCTCCGTACTCCCCTTATAAGGCTATGTGCCGATGCCAGCACAGTCAACGGATTCCTGGTTTTTGTAAATAATAATAAAAAAGACAGGATCTCAGAGAGCGATAGTATGTGGGAAAAAGCCGGTTTCGAGAAAGGCACGTTATCCCCCTAAAGTAAACTGTGTGTGACGAGACGGTCCCTCCCTACCCCTGTAGTAAACTGTGTGTTTCTCACACACACTGTGGTCCCTCATCCTCCTTAGAACTCTGCAACTGTCGCACTACCCCTAACCCCTGAACCATTCTCTTTCCCAAACCTCAAACCCGTGTGTGCAGTTCAGCAGTGAGTGGTGAAGGCCGAGAGAAGAGGTGAGCCGGGCACTTGAGAAGCCAGCGGGGGGCCTTGGCCCCTGGCCACTGCAGGTACTGCAGCTGCCCCCCAGCTTCTAACCCTAACCCAAACCCACTCCATCATCCCATCATCACCTCACCTGTGTGTGAAGGTCAGCTTGGCATCAGTGAGGGGTCATGAGTAACACCCATCCCATAAGGTGGTCATGAGTGAGGGGAGAGAGAAGAGGTGCGCCGGGCACTTAGGAGTTGCAGCTCTACCCCCCTAACCCGCTACCCCCCTAACCCGCTACCCCCCTAACCCGCTACCCCCCTAACCCGCTACCCCCCTAACCCACTACCCCCCTAACCCGCTACCCCCCTAACCCGCTACCCCCCTAACCCGCTTCCCCCCAACCCGTTGATCTCACCTGTGTGTGAAGATGAGTTTGGCATCGGGAAATGCAGCCATAAGCGAAGGCAGAGAGAAGAGGTGAGCCGGGCACTTGAGCAGCCAGCGGGGGGCCTTGGGCCCGCGCCACTGCAGGTACTGCAGCTGCCAGCGCAGGAGGCGGTAGGTGGGGGTGAGGTCTGAGGAGAGGTACCAGCGAAAGTAGGAAGGGATGTTGAAGTGGATGGTGGGGAAGGCGAATGACGTGAAATCGTACCTGGTGGGGGAAGGGAAGGGAGGAAGGGGGAAAGGGAGGGATAGAGGAAAAAGGGAAGGGAGTGCGGGAGAGGAGGGAACGTTAAAGTGGATGGTGGGGAAGGCGAATGACGTGAAATCGTACCTGGTGGGATAGGAGGGGAAGGGAGAAAAGACTGGGGGGGTTGAGCTTTAAAAATTTCACTCTCAATTCTGCGAAGGGAAGGAAGAAAGGGAGGAATAAGTATCGAGTTAACTTAACTGAGAAGCACGGGGGATGGGGCCAGTGGAGGGGCGGGTGGAGAAAGTGAGATGGAGAGCCAGAGAATCAATCGCATTATGACCTTCACAGAGGAAATGGCAAAAATCTGATATCAACTTGAAGAATCACATTAACAGGGGTCACAGATGTGGGAATGAGGAATGGGGTCACCAACACGATGAGGCATGAGGGAAGTGGCTTCTCCTCACTTAATAAACCCACCAGAACCACTCACTCACACCGTAACCTCACCGCCACTCACATCATGAGTCCCATGCACTCCTGTGGCCCTGTTGCTGTCACTGGGTGCAACGCCTGCAGGGGGGGAATTGGATGGTGAGGGGTGCGGGACGGTGGGGGACGGTGGGGGAAGGGTTGTAAGGGCAGTATGAGTCCCGTGCATTGACTTAGGAAAGAGCATCTGTTCGTATACAACAAGCCAACTGGAATGTAGGAAGCAGAGTAACGCACCCACCCATCAGCACATCAGCAGCACATCAGCACAGCGGCACTACCCACCTGGAAGGAAGGAAGCATTGCGGAAACCGCTCCCAGGAAAGCTTCAGTCTCCCCAATGCGATTATCAGTGTCGTAGCAGGTGGCGTCCGGGGGAGGGTGCATGTGACGCACCTCCCATGCGAGTCAGAGGCGAGCGGAAGAGAAGAGAGAGCAATTCCCTTTGTGCGAAAAAGGAAAGGAAACCCACCTGGAAGGAAGGCAGCAGTGCGAACACCCCCTCCAAAAAGGCTTCAGTCTCCCCGATGCGTTTATCAGTGTCGTAGCAGGTGGCGTCTGGGGGAGGGTGCATGTGATGCACCTCCCATGTGAGCGGCGAGTAAAAGAGAGGACACTTCTATTCCCACAGCAGCGCCTTACCCACCTGGAAGGAAGGCAGCAGAGCAGAGACCCCCTCCAGAAACGCCTCAGTCTCCCCAATGCGCTTGTCAGTATCGTAGCAGGCGGCGTCCGGGGGAGGGTGCATGTGATGCACCTCCCATGTGAGCGGCGAGCGGAAGAGAGAAGTGTCGAGGGCGAGGAGGTTGAAGAGGAAGGTGGTGCCCGTGCGCGGCAGACCCAATATGAACACCGGGGCCTGCTTATAACGAGTATACGGGTGGCAAGGAAAGGGGGGGTGGGAGGGCGGGAGTGGAAGAGTGATGTGTCGAGGGCGAGGGGGTTGAAGAGGAAGGTGGTGCCTGTGCGCGGCAGACCCAATATGCACACCGGGGCCTGCTTATAGCGGGGATAAGAAGGGCAAGAAGGAGGGGGGGGAGGCGGAGGGAAGAGAGAGGTGTCGAGGGCAAGGAGGTTGAAGAGGTAAATTGTTCCCGTGCGGGGCAGACCCAATATGAACACCAGCGCCTGCTTATAACGGGGATAAGAGGGGAAAGGAGAGGGAAGGGGGGGAGGAAGGAAGAAGCGGAAGTGCGAGGTTTGGAGGGCAAGAGGAGGTTGAAGAGTAAGGTAAGGTTGTTCCCATGCTCGGCAAGCCAAGGATGAATTCTGGGGCCTGCTTGTAAGGGGTACAACTTAATTGAGGAGAGGAGGAACCAGTAACACCCACCCTCGCCGTCACACACCTACCCACTCAAACCACCCACCAGCTCTTCCAATTACCCAGACGCAACCACACACCCTCCCAAGCGCACGCACCCTCCCTCCCTCCACACGCACCTCAATCTTCTCCTCCTCTATCTCGGGGTGTTGCCTCCTTGTATCCTCCAGATGCAGCCGGTACCGCAGCAGGCGCTGGGGAGGGGGTTGGGGGGCGAGGGAAAGGGGGGGAGGGGGGAAAAGGGGGGGAGGAGGCGGAGGGGAAGGGAGAGGTGGAGGAGGAGGGGAGAGGGCAGAGAGTGCAATTCAATCTATGTATAATATCGTTCCACTGCACATAATTGACTGCACCCTGCTCGACATTACATATGCCAGTACACCATAAGATGGACCAGACAATTACTGTAGCAGTAATTGCTTGTATGCACAATTTACTGTACCTGTACATCGTTCCATATAAGAATCCTCCCAAACGCGCTCAGTCTCGCCTCCTCTTCGAGACCCTTCAATAGAAGCCGCAGCCCCGTCAGGAACGTCCCCTCGCCATAGTCACGCAGTCCCGTGGCCTTGTACGCGGCGCGCAGCACGGCGCGTTCCTCTAACGGGAGGAGCCACTGCAGCAGGCGCGTCGCGAGCGGCGGGAGGAAGAGAAAACCGCAGAGCGCGTCGACGAGCCGCGTGGCGAAGTTGACGAAACGGGCGAAGAGGGGAAGGAGGTAACGACGCATGGCGAAGGATCGTGACGCCAGTGACCAGGAAATGGAACAACGACAACTACGGAGCGACGGGAAAGGAGCGACGGATCGACGGGAAAGGAACGAGGAAACGACGGGAGCGACGGAAGCGACGGATTCAGAGCCTCCGATAAGAAAAACTCCCTCTCCGCTGCAAGCCAGTTTTTGAACCGCGCGTTCGCCTTCGCCTTTTGAGGCGTGTCAGCAAAACTTCGCCTCTGTGCCTCCGTCTCGATCGACTCTGTGCTCGCGCCTCATTACTAGGGTTCTTCAGAAAGTTTCGCCGGCCGGTGGCGACGCCGCGTCGTTCGCTGTCGTTCGCTGTGAGCAAGGCTCAATCGACACGACCATGCGTGGAGGGCTTGGTGGATCCGCTCCGCGTAACTCGTTCGGCTCGGTTAGGTTCAATTCGGTTCGATTCGGCTCGGAACCTCTCGGGCATGCGGGACGAGCCATCGGAACACACGATAGGTGTGACGAGACGAGGCGATGCCTCGAATTTACGGGGGTTCGGCTCGTTCGGCCATGTTGGCTAGCCGGCGACACGAGAACGGGTGACGAGGAGGGTTGTGGTGACGAGACGACGACGCTAAGAGCGTGCAATGCAAAACGGTAGTGCATGAGCACGGACGGACCAGCAAGAAACACACTACGCGACTCGGTGGAGGAGGACATGCAATGCAACATTAGCGCCGCGCACATACGAGCATGCATGACAATCTCCGCAGCTATTTCACTGAGCAAACACCAAATAATAGCATCACACGTCACTGACTTGACCTAGGCGACCTTGATTGGACACTGGGTCCGTACGTCCGCGGTATTAGCAAGCCTCAATCGAGTTTGACGAAGCGATTTACTGAGAATAATGGGGTGAGGAGCATATGGATACAAAACAAATCAGCCTTTCCCCCAAAGATCACCTACTACGGTATACACCAGCATCAGACAAGCCTTGGTCTCTGCCTATCAATTAGACTCGGGTCATGGACATGGCTAATATTCATCCACTTAACTAATGCAAACTGCAACGGCTCAGCAATCCCAAAATTCTTGTGGTAAAATAAATCTCTTACCTTTCTGGGTCCAACATTTTTCCTAGGGCAGCTTTTGAATCCGGGCCGCTTCTTGAAAATAGGCGAACTCTTCATAACGCCCAGATCGTTGCTGTCATAGTTGAAGAATTTCGCCGAGCGGGAGGTTACATTGATGTGGCGGTGTGTATTTAATTTGGGGGTGTTTGGAAGCTTCTCCACACAGTAACGAAAATTCATGTCGGCATCTTGCACGTCGACCAACACCAGGTCGATGTAATTATTCGTGGGCAGCCCGCTGCACTTGCCTGTCTCCGAATCTTTTAGAGTACCCGGCGCGTTTGTGTTACACTTGACCCCGTTAATAGATGTCTCGTTACAAATGCTCTTCATCCAAGGCCATTTCTGAAAGACAGGAACTCAACAAAGGAAAAAGAAGAGGAGAATACCAGTAACCGGAACAAACGAACAGAATAAAGGAAACAGAGAGGAGAGTAGTGAGGGTTTTCATAGATTGGATTGGATGGATGTGGACTGGTAAACCTACTCAATAGAAGCAAACAGAGGAGAAGAGCACTGTTGTAGCACCCAGGGCAGTTGCACACGGTGCTAAAAGATTACCGGTTTGGCTTATAAGGGGGCAATACCTGCTGAATCACAGTGTTGCCGGGGTCCTTGAAGCGGTCGCACACCGTCCAGAAATATTACTGAGTTGGCCTATAAAGGGTAAATACCTGCTGAAAAGCGGCAGTGCTGTAGTACTTGGCCTGCATGCGGTTCCAGTAGTTGCCCGGGTCCTTGAGGCAGTTGCACACTGCTCTAGAACATCTTATGAGTTGGCTTATAAGGGGCACAAGATCCACCTGCTGAAACGCGGCACTGCTGTAGTACTTGGATCGCATGTGGTCCCAGTAGTTGCCCAGGTCCTTGAGGCAATTGCAGAAAGTACTAACAGATTAGTGATGTGGCTTATAAGGGGGATATATGCTACCTGCTGAAACGCAGCCGTGCCATAGTACTTGGCTCGCATGCGGTCCCAGTAGTTGCCCGGGTCCTTGAGGCAGTTGCAGATGGTGGCAGTGATGCACGCGCACCACCCCGGTGTGCCCTCCGTGCCCTTCATCACCACGTGCTCTATGCGGTTCCTGAGGAGGGAAGATAGGGCGAAAGGGCAAGGGATGGTCATGCAGTAGGATATAGGGTGATCGAGTGGCAGTGAGGCACGTGCACCGCCCCGGCGTGCCCTCTGTGCCCTTCATCACCACATGCTCTATGCGGTTCCTGAGGAGGGCAGGGGGGCAAGAGGAGCAAGCGATGGGAAACGCAGAAGAATGCAGGGGGACACAATGCCAGTCCAGTGCTTTTCTTCACCACATGAAAGATATGGCTCCTGTGGAGGGAAGAGCAACTGATGGGAAGCACAGAAGAAGAATATAAGGGGACACGACACCCCTGACTCACCATTACCCATTGCTGACTCACCATTCCCCATTGCTGACTCACCATTCCCCATTGCTGACTCACCATTTCCCGTTGTTGACCTTCATGCCATCCACCGTCCCGATACAAGCCCCTCCGCGTATAGTCACACCCGAGCTGGCATAGTCCAGGTAGTAGCAGTGGTCACCCCCGATTATGTAGTTGCACTCCGCCAAATTACCCGGGTTAATCCAGTGCGTTACGAAGTATATCCCTGTGGCGTCCCAGCCCCCTGTGAGGTTCCGGCCTGCTGCCACAACGAGGTTGTTGGAGATGGTGCTGAGCATGCAGTCGCCCTGGGAGGGAGGATGGGAGAGGGAGGGGGGGGATGGAAGTGAGTGGGGGGTGTTGAGCTTCCGGCCTGCTGCCACAACGAGGTCGTAGATATGGTGCTGAGCATGCAGTCTCCCTGGGAAGTTGGGGGGACGAACGAGGGGAAAGGGGCAAGTGGGGACGAGGGGGAGTGAGGGGGTTGAAGACGTTCCGTCCTGCTGCAACAACGAGGTTGTTGGATATGCTGCTCAGCATGCAGTCGCCCTGGGAGGGAGGCGGGGACAGGATGGGCCAGGAGGGGATGGGAGGGAGAGGGGGTTTATTGAGGTTGCGGGATATGCTGCTCAGCATGCAGTCGCCCTGGGAGGGAGGCGGGGACAGGATGGGCCAGGAGGGGATGGGAGGGAGAGGGGGTTTATTGAGGTTGCGGGATATGCTGCTCAGCATGCAGTCGCCCTGGGAGGGAGGCGGGGACAGGATGGGCCAGGAGGGGATGGGAGGGAGAGGGGGTTTATTGAGGTTGCGGGATATGCTGCTCAGCATGCAGTCGCCCTGGGAGGGAGGCGGGGACAGGATGGGCCAGGAGGGGATGGGAGGGAGAGGGGGTTTATTGAGGTTGCGGGATATGCTGCTCAGCATGCAGTCGCCCTGGGAGGGAGGCGGGGACAGGATGGGCCAGGAGGAGATGGGAGGGAGAGGGGGGGTTATTGAGGTTGCTTGTGATGATGCTCAGCATGCAGTCGCCCTGTGGAAGAGGAGGGGAAACGAACGGGGGCAAGGGGAAGAGGGAGAATGAGAGGGTGAACGAGGTTGCTTGAGATGATGCTCAGCATGCAGTCGCCCTGAGAGAAGGGCTGTTTCTGCCTGTCGCCTCACGTGGTGGTTCCAAGTCAACCACCACGTGAGGAGACAGGCATGAGCAGCATCCCTCACTTCACTTCCCACACACGCGACTTTTGAGGCGCCTCAAAAGAACCTCGTGGCTGTTCCTGCCTGTCCTGTCGCCTTTTGAGGCGCCTCATGACTTTTGAGGCTTCACCTCAAAAGAACCTCGTGGCTGTTCCTGCCTGTCCTGTCGCCTCACGTGGTGGCTACAAGTCAACCACGTGAGGAGACAGGCACGAGCAGCATCCCTCACTTGCCACATGGCCACCGCCCCGTACCTGAACTGAACCTTCCATGCACCTTCCCTCACCTGTGAGTGCACTATATCGCTGCACGTGATTGCAGCAAGCACGAAGTCATGCACGTGGTTGTTCTTACCCACCGCCCCCACCGTGCCAGGTGTGTTTTGAGTCGACAATAAAACACCTTCCCTCACCTGCGAGTGAACCATACTGCCGAATGTGGGGCAGCAAACACGAAGTCGTGCCCTTAGTTGTTCTTAACCACTACCATCCTTTGACTAGAATATAAAAACAAAATAACCTTCCCTCACCTGCTAGTGCACCTTGTTCTGAGGCGCCTCAAAACCCTTCCCTCACCTGCGAGTGAACCATGTTGCCGCACGTGATAGCAGCAAACACATAGTCGTGTCGTGCATATAGTTGTTCCTGACCACTGCTCCCCACAACACCAAACTGGAGCATCACTGGCAGGTAGGCACCTCACCTGCGATTGCACCATGTTTCCACACGTGATGGCAGCATCACGAAGTCATGCACGTAGTTGTTCTTAACCACTGCTCTCACCGTGCCAGGCGTGTTTTGGGTCGACTCGCAACTTCCCTCACCTGTGAGTGAACCATGTTGCCGCACGTGATTCCAGCAAACACGAAGTTGTGCACGTGGTTGGCTTAACCACTGCTCTGCTCCCACCTTAACCATTGAGACTTCTCAAAAGCGACGCACCTGTGAGTGCACCATGTTGCCGCACGTGATTCCAGCAAACACGAAGTCGTGCACGTAGTTGTTCCTCACGACCACGCCCACCGCTCCCACGTGTAACAGCACTGGCATGTACGCGCCTGGGGGGTGTGGAGATTGGCAGAAAGGGATGGAGAGGTGTGGAAAGCGATGGAGAGGGGTTGATGAGTGGAGTGCACAAAGAGTTGCAGCCCACATATGGTCATGCACATAAATGTTGTGAGCACTGCCTTTATAGCGCCAAGGGTTGCCATACTGCATCGCATCACACCACAACACGCCACACCACACCAGTTCACACCACAACAGACCGCACCACACCACACCACACCTACCGTAGATATCTTATTTGTCATGTACACGTGGCAGCACACCACCAGGCGTCCGTACCTCGACAGCATGGCCTGTGATTGGTGGTGTACACGTGGCAGCAAGCAAGAGGTACCAAACAGCACCGCACCGCACCACACCACGCTACACCGCACCCCACCCCACCCCATTAGATCAACGCCGCCTACCAAGGATCTCAATATTGGTGATGTACACGTGACAGCGCACCAGCAGGGGCCCGTGCCCCACCAAGCAAGCAAGCTAGGGTATGGCACACCATGCCATACTGTGTTGTGTAACTAAACACCCGCAGAGCATAGATCTCATTGTTGGTGATGTAGACGTATGCACGAACCGGCAGGGGGGCATACCCAGACAGCAGACACACATGATTGGTGCTGCACACGTGGAAACAAACACGAGGTACCACACCACACCACACCACACCACACCCCATCAAACCCACCCACCATAGATCTCATTGTTGGTGATGTAGATGTAAGCCCGCACCAGCAGCGGCCCATACCCCGACAGCATCACTCGGATCACTCCGTTGCCCCTCTTGAAGTCGGACACGCCTGTCATCGTCATCGAGTCAATGCGGCTGTGCATGGTCCGCATTATGTCCACCCGGCCAAACGTGTAGCCCTGGGGGGGGGAAGGGGGGGAAGGAAGGAAGCATTAGTGAGTCAGCTGCCCCTCTTGAAACCAGACACGCCTGTCATTCTCATAAGATCGATGAGGATGAGAGGGCGCCATGGTTGGAACGCCATAGGAGCACTATAATCCTCTGTACTCATTACTAGCAGACTCACTTTAACGATCTGAACGCCGTAGGAGCGGTAGACGTGGATGAGAGGGCAGATGATGTCTGTTCCCACTTCGGGAATCTCCTTGGGGCATGCCTGTGAGTAGGCTCGGAATGGCTGTGACATCTGAATGTGGGTGAAAGGGGAGAGAGGAGGAAAGAAAGGAATAAGAGAGGGGGAGGAGGTGGGGTATGTGTGGATGAGAGGGCAGATGAAGTCCTTTCGACCTGCATGCTATGCTATCTCCGACCCTGCATAGGACATAGCAGAGCACATCAGCCTCACCTGCACGCGATGCACAATCACGTTGCTGGTGTTCCACACTCTCAGCAGCGGCTCATCCACCCGATGCACGTACAGCCGATACCCCCTCCCTTGTGTTACCCAGATGCCACAGCAAACAGCAGCGCACGCTGCAACACCACACAGCACCGCACAGCACTCCTCTCAATCAACCCACCTGCACGCGCTGCACAATCACGTTGCTGGTGTTCCACATGCGCAGCAGCGGCTCATCCACCCGATGCACGTACAACCAGAATTTTCTCCCTACGTTGCTTAGATACCACACTGCACAGCACGGCACCGCACAGCACCGCTCTCACCTGCACGCGCTGCACGATCACATTGCTGGTGTTCCACACGCGCAGCAGCGGCTCATCCACTCGATGCACGTACAGCCGATACCCCCTCCCTTTGGTCCCCGCGCTCGATCGCAGCACCGTGCACGCATAGTCCGGACCAAACAGCAGCCCTCGCTTCAGAGTCAGGTGGGTTTGAAGCTCCAGAATGACGGTGGTGGAGGGGGGGTGCCTGGTGCGCTTGATGAAATCGGCCTCCTTGGTGACGCGGATGTGCACGGCTGAGGCCAGGGGGGAGCACGCGGATCCTCCTGCAAAGGGAGGGGGGAAGAGGGGTGGGGGAAGAGGAGGCATGTGTGAATCGGCCTGAAGAAAATGGCTTCATTGCAGCACCGTGCACGCATACTCTGGCCCAAACAACAGCCCGCGTGTGAGAATGAGGTGGTTCTGAAGCTCCAGAACGACCATGGTGGAAGGGAGGGGTGTCTGTCTGGTGCGCCTGCTGAAGTGAGACTCTTTCGCCACTCGGATGAGCACGGCTGAGGCCAAGGGGGAACACGCCGATCCTCCTGCAAGAGTAGAGGGGTGTGGGGGGTGGGAGGTGAGGAAGAGGGGGGGTGTCTGGTGCGCCTGCTGAAGTGAGATTCTTTCGTCACTCAGATGACCACGGCTGAGGCCAAGGGGGAACACGCTGATCCTGCGTGATGGGGCCGATATCAGCATATTTGAGTGTATATGTGCGTGCCAGCTTGTATGTATTCGCATGTATCAGTCCCCACAGATCTCTCTGAGCAGGTTAACGTGTGGTGTACTCGTTATGGAATGCTTTCACACCAGGCATGTGTACGGACGGTGTTTTAAGGAACTCTCAGGGTGCGTATGAAACATGAAATGACAGCTCCCAGGGGGTACAGTACAGTACAGCTTTCAGCCTCACCTTGCTTAGCAGCAGTAGCAGCTGCAGGATCCGAAGCAAGACCATAAGGGTGAGGTTCGGCAGCAGAGTTCGGCTCGGCAGCAAGCAACGCTGCAGGTACGGGGCGAGCCTCCTGCGCCATGGATGCGTCCAACCAAGCCATTGTTGCAGGCTCGGACCGAACCTGCTGCTTCAGCCATGGATTCATCCACTCCTGAGGCTCGGCCCGTCGCAGAGACTGTGACTGTACCTGTGCCTGTGCCTGTGATTGTGATTCTGACTGCGATTGTGACTGTGCATGTAAGTGTGAATGTGCATGTGCGTGGTGTGACAGCAGGGAAGGTGACTCTGACTGTGACTGTACTTGCACAGGTTGTGAACTGTCCGTAGCGGATCTGTAACCATCCTCGTTACTGGTTGATCTCGCTGATTCGGTACTATTGTTATTCCGATGACACACACTACGCGGATGCAGGTGGTACAGCGACGAGTGGCGGGATTGCTCGTGAAATGCGCTCCTGTGAGCTGTGATAAGCGCGAGGAGGGGAACGAAGGGATGAACAAAAGTATTCCGAAATTAGCATTCTAGCTGGCTCTCACAAAACTCTCGCATCCTCTGCAAGCATTGCCTTCTGAAAATGCCCCCCCTGAGCTCTGCTTGGAATCTGAGATAGCTATATCCGGCCATTCACTGCACTCTCAGCATCTGACCATTCACCTGCGGCTCGGACCAGCGCCATATGCGAACGCTGACTGAGAATGCAGAGAGCGACGACGACAGCACGCAGGCTCAGCTTCGAAACAATCACTTCTGGTATCAGCTTCGTCCACCGCACTCCCCCGCGGCAGTCGCACTTGCGGCGTTCTGGTAACAGACATCTCCGCCGCCTCGTGCGAACCAGGCGAAGACAGGAACGATATGTGTTACCATACGATTCTTCATCGCGAACCGGCGTCCGATCCTGACGGCCCCTGGATTGACTTTGAAGTCGTTTCTGGCTACCGCTGCTACGCGTTACGCGACTGCGTACGCTTCTGGGTCGGCCGATCATCTCTTTCCGAGTTAGACTCGAAGTTCTCTCCGAGCCTTCTAAGACGACTTAAAGTTCACTCCAAGCCTGGTTGGTTGGTTGACTGATCAGATCAGGGAAAGGCTGTCTGTTGGCTCGCTCGAATTCAGCTCACTCGCTGGAGTAGAGAGCCTCGAGTCTAACTCAGGTGAAGTTTGGCTTGTCTAACTCGAGCTTGGCTCACATAATTATATGTAAGCACGCCGCGTCGTACGCCTACTACGAGTGTAGCATGACGCACGACTCACGAGCGAAATCAGCCATTCCGACTGAGTCGACAAAAAAATTCGACTTGTTTGGAACCGCGAAACTTGAACAAACTTCCGGAGGTTAATGCTCGTAGCCTTGATCGGGTCTCAAATGTAGGCGAGAATAGTCGTCTTTCTTGATCCACACCGTCCACAAAAGGCCAGTCGAACAAGCCTTGTTCGACTGAGTGATTCATGGGGTTCGCGCCTAGGTTCAGGACTTTTGAAGAGAGTGCCAGGCATTGTTGCAACAGAAGCGAGCTAAAACAAGCTGCAACACGACAGGTTTGTGCGTGTGTCGCCTTGGAACGGTAATGAATGACCACCATAGGTCTGTCGTTCCCGTTATCTCTCGCAAATGCCATACGGATTTGTGAGCTCCAGCAAGGCAGAATTGTGAGCTCGCAACAAAGCTTTGTCGGCGAACGCTTGAACTGTTACTCGAACGTTCACTACAGCGCGATCTCGTTCGTGTAGCGTTTGCGAACGACATCAGCGGCACAACGAAATGTGAATCTGCTGTACACGAAGATTGATGAATTGTTCGCTCTTTCGTAACTCACAACCGCGATCAAGGGCGGCGTGGGCTGTTCAGTGGGGCAATGCACAGCACTGAGGAAGGGATGGGATGAGAGGGGCGGGCACATCGAGCCTGTGCTCGCAGGGCTGCCCCATGGCGTCAGGAGGTAGGCGCGTGGTGAAGCCTGTGGCTTGTCCTGCGAACCGCTATGCCTGCAGATACGATTCAATACAAGCGCTCTTGAACAACAGGAGTCACAGATATTACAACACGTCCACGAGCATTCCACCACATAGCAAAAAGCAAGACAAGTACTGGTACTCTTACCATAGAAGACACATATGATAGATGACTTTGTTTAAGTGTAAACACTGCTTCCACCTATGGTAATTGGTAATTATCCACATCAACAGCATAAGCAAGCTAATTTCTTTTCCTTCCAGTGTCCTGGTCCTGGATCTTGACATGCTGATTGAATGTCAAAGTCCATCCAGCATTCGGGCTTGCTCCCTGCTTGACCAAAATGGATTGAATGCACAGGACACAACAGGAACTACTACACACACACAGGCCATAACTGGAGCATACTTCTCCATTTTGCAATGGGTAGGGCCATCCGCGATAAAAGGTGCGGGCCAACCTGCTCATAGACTTGCAGGTTAGCATGGCCAATGGACTACATGCATTGGACGACATTCATCTGAAATACACGCTACTCAATGTCAAGGAAATCCATCTGCTTCCGCAACATTCCTTTGAGCTCGGATGCCTCTTTTTCCTCTTTCTGGGCCTACAAACAGCAGGAAAGGAGACTTCGTGTCATGCAAAATATACACTAAAGCTTAACGGGGCAAGCAGATTATTAGGGCTTCACATACCTGTCGAATCTGCTGTAAAGAAACGGAAACCATATTAGGAGGCATTTCTGGCATGTGCTCGTCCTGAAACGGCATATCGTGAACCACAATCAGCAAAATAACTTCAACCAAGAACGAAGAACAAGAGCCTCATGAATCAGACCAACTTACAAGTGTGCCTATCAGAACGACGTTCTCTCCTCGGATAATGTACAGTCCCAGAGGCAGGTCGCAGTATTGCTCGCCAACAACAATCCGCTCAGTCGTACGCTCCAGCACAAGATTAGCTGCGCACAGAACCCAGTAACATCGATAAGTTCGGTGGAACTGCATACGAAAACGTAAGCTTAGGAATGACCTGAGTGCCACGTACCGAATTGGTCGAAAGAGCGCAGGATACCGATTATTTTACGTCCATCTCTAAGAACAACGAGCAGTTTCTCTGCCCAAACAAACGTCAGAAATCGTCAATAAAGGACTCCCCTAAGTTAGCATTATCGGCCAAGGCGAGGTGCTTACTGTCTAGCTCCTCAACAAGGCTCGATGTCCCAGGCAGAAATGGCAACCCAGCCCACGACATGCCCAGGAGTTGTCGCCGCTGCTACGATCCGTGGCTGATTACTTCAGCCGCTAACTAAGTGAACGGCAACCATTGAGCGAAGGGGGGATTAGTGGGCAAACTAGTAAGCGACACGGTTCGCGGGTAACGAACAGAGAAGGATCACAGGAACCCTAGTTTCCGATTCCAAATGAATGAATGTTCGTGGGAGCACGTTGCAATCGAAGCTGGTACAGTAGAATACAAAGTGAATTGTATACACAGGCAAAAGAAGGATTGAACGAATAATTGGGAAAACAGGCAACAAAATCTATACCATACATGCAACTCACTACAAGCATTGAACTGTTAAATGGGAAACGCAAGGAATCAACACATAATTATTCATGGCAATCCAACTGACAGGAAGTGGACCAGGAAGGCACCGAAGGCTACAACCATCAGAGCTACAACGTACGATACCCCAAGTTCAATTCCCCTAGTGCCTGTCCTGAAATGAACCCACAAATTCAGAGAGTTTCCAGGAGGCTCCATTCTTATCACAACACAATCATCACCACATTCACTTGCTGATGCTTGCAACCATGCCTGAACTGCGAATCTAGCTGCACAAACACGAGAGCCCCCGCATACAGCTTCAGATAACGATGCAGCATAGGAAGCAGCTGCTGGCGAATGATGATGCACAGCCTTCCTCATAATAGCAATAGAAACTGGCGAATAGTCCCTGAAAATAGAGAGAGTATAAAAAACAAGTGAGCAAAATGATTGGAGAAAGAAGAATGAAGTGCAAACTTGTGACTGAGTGTCCTCAATAGACGGAATCTTACCCAGGCATCCCCATGCCAGAGACAAAGGCCGCGACCAAAGAGACAGACAGCAGCAACACAACAACACACAGCAGTATGGGCTCGCGAATCCAAATAGGTACTCCCCGAAACCTCGCGTTCAACGCCTGCAGTGCAGCCACGACCACTCGTATGACTCCCTGTGCTGCCCTATGAAGCGTTGTCGCCACGTAAGAGAATGCTATCCGCCCGTCTGATGCAACGGAGTTTGGTCTTGGGTTAGGAGGTGATATTCTGAGTGATAACGGGAGGAATCTCACAGGCCCTGAAGCATGTATTGGGCTGGCCATGTCAGCGAAATTAGGACACACCAGCAAGATCACTAGGGTTCCACAATGGGAAGGCGATCAATACTGGAAAAAGGGCCCCAAAGGAGCCTGGAGTATCTTTTCGCGAAAAATGCTGGGATTAGACCCAAAAGGATGCGCGAGCATTCAAGAATTAATCACGATTCGCGAGTAATGTGGATACGTCTGAGTCGTCCACCGTGTATCAGGTCTCCAGCTTTTCAGCTTAGGCTTAAAGTGCACGGGTCTAAGCGCTCGCATAACGTCATTCGTGCGTGCATAACCATGTTTCCCAGCCATTGCGTGGCTCCCAAGAGTCACCAAGTGCCGCCCTTGGCTGACGACAGTCGGATCCGTCAAGCGCATAACTGCGGGTGCGCATACAGACGCGTGACGAGGTGAAGAGCAGAATAAGTACTAACCGGAGTCACAATCACTGGTTCTGCTTTTGCTCCACCTTTTTGCTGACGCCATTCAGCTCAGTTGTGGGGAAACTTTTGTGGCTCGTTATTGCGTATCTCGACTAGGAAATGATGCCAGCGGAATGTATAAGTTGTTGAGTTCGTGACATTATCTAGAAGAGCAGCACATACCATCGGGACTCCCGCCAGTTTCAGTTCAGACGGGTCAGAAGGTCTGACAAATTTGAAAACATTTCCCGCCAGATTCCAGAAGCAGTTCCCTAGGGTCTGCCTGCCACCAATCAGAGCAAACCGCACGAGGCAATTCTGTTCGCTGAGGATCCCAAGGTTTCCAGTTCACTGCGACTCGCTGGATGCCTGTGTTTCAGTTCCAGGGATGGCACGGTTCCAAACGGTTCTATCTGATTTAGGATGTTTCAGTGCGGCGCTCTCCTTCTCTTTGTGGCTGATCGAACTTGCAAGCAGGTCAGCCATTCAGAAGGTCATTCTGGGAAACAACTAGTCTAGTCAACCATTGTCACTCAGGCTGTGCTTTCCTTTCATCAGGTTTCGACTGCCAAATTAGCAAGGACTGGACTACCGCGTAATGCGTAGAAGGCAGTAGCGTTGCACCTCTCGTGCAGGACATTAGAAGTCAGACTCGCATTGTCAAATCACCCTGTAGTCGTGTGGCTGGAGAAAATTCCGTGAGCATGGAGTTTAGGATTCCGAAAAATCTGGATGACGTCGAGCAGAATGACGACGAGTCCTCAGGGTTTCTCCATGCCACGGATGTAGTGGAAGCGGCGATCGAGCCCAACCTTGTCAGAGGTACTAATTTTCTAGTATAAGCTGACAGCATAGATCTTCCACCTTCAATACTTTCTTTCCAGCTACGTTTTAAAGGTGCTAGTTTGCTATGAATGTTTATTCTGACGGTATTGCGGTAAATTTTCGTGCAGAAATTTCGCGTGAGCTTGGAGAGAAGGACATTTTCTGCGTGCAGGAGCAAGAGACATTCAACAAACTATACTCGGCTGTCAAGTACGTCACCTAGGCAGAGTAGACAAAACAGGCCACACACGTCCGTTTCTTACCTTCCGTTTCTTTCTGAATCGCTTGGTTTCAACTCCTAACCCGTTTCTACTGAATCCAAAGAACCGTTCCAACGCTATCGTGTTCATATCTCCACTTTCGCACTGCACCGTAAACTCTCTGCAGGTGCTTTGACCAGCTGGACGCCTCGTCCAAGGACCTTCTGATCGACTCCTTGGCGACGAATCTTAGCTGCCTTGTTCCATCCATCGCAGCATTCCTCGCGCCGTCTTCCGGCAGTTCCTCCACGTCAGCGGCTGACACTGACGTGTCCACATCAGGGCCGTCTATCAGATCTTACAAGAACTGTATCAAGATTTACAGTTACTTCCTCGCATGTATCGTCAATCACGCAGCTCTTGCCAAGGCGACCGAAAATGCCGACCGTCCTTCTCAAAAGGTAAGGCAGGCTTAAACTAGGATCTTGGACTTATTTTGATGCAATACTGAACTTGAAATGTTTTCCGCGAGGCTCGAAGTAATCCCAGACCAACAATAACCTCACCTCATCTGCATCTATTCGTCCTCGTTCCTTGTTCCCTCCTCGGTCCCTCCTCGTTCCTTCCTCATTTGTCTCCTCAGGGGGGTCGCCAACCGCGGAAGAAGGCGGTGGTGTCGCACTCGTGGGAGTGGCAGCGCCAAATGCCCAAGGTGCTCAAGGCGCTCGCTACAGCCACATCCGTTAAGCTCAGCTCTCTTTACCACGGCTCCGCGCCAGAAGAGAGCCTTATGGAAGCTTACTGCAGCCTGGCGTTCACTCTCTTTGAAGATGCCGAATTGCTCAAGAACGGGGATGTGCGCGCGCCGCTCGTGCAGATCGTGGCGCAGTGCGCCGTGAAGCAGGGGTACCTGGTGCAGGTGGTATCTGGCCTGCTGCACCTGCTGCACCACCAGAAGCACTCCCCCGATATAGTCACAGACGTGGTGGTGTACGCGGATGAGCAGCTGGGGCAGGCGAGCCTGGCGGCGGCGGTTCTGCAGGATGTGGGGAGGACGGGGTTGAAGGAGTACAGCCGTGCGAACAGCGGCGTGCACGAGGTGAGTCCGCGAATTCGTTGAATGAGGTGTGCGCCCTTTGAAATTCCTCGGTTGGCGGAGCTCCTCGTCGCCCCATCCAACAAGCAGCCGCCCTTGCTCGCCGCCTCATTCCTCTATCTGCCATCAGCCACTCTAACACGTACCGCCTTCCCCATGCTCCTCATTCTTCTCATTTCTCTCCTGTCCCCTGTCTCTCACGTCTCTTAGGTGGCGGAGTTTCTCGTCGCCCTCGCCAACAAGCAGCCTCGCCTGCTCGCCGCCTCCCTGCCGCTGCTCGTGCCGCACCTCGAGCACGGGGAGTCCGCCGTGCTGCGCTGCGCCATCGTCACCGCCATCAGCCGCCTCCTCGCGCGCCTCTACTCCGCCGACGCTGGCGGAGCGGTGCCCGCGGCAGGGGACGGGGGCGCGGAGGGGGAAGGAGCGGAAGGGGACGAGGACGGAGAGGGCGGAAGGGAATCCGCGGGTGGCGCGGAGGAGGAAGGCCCCGCGGCGAGGGGCGCGATGCGCGCGCGGCTGCAGAGGCTGCGGAGCAAGCAGGGGCTGCTGGCGGTGCTGATGGAGCGCGCGCGCGACCAGTCCGCGCACGTGCGCAGCCGCGTGATGCAGGCGTGGGCGTGGCTGTGCGGGGAGAAGGCGGTGCCTCTGGGGCACTGGAACGCCGTGGCGGAGCTGGCGGTGGGGCGGCTGGAGGACAAGTCGTCGCTTGTGCGGAAGAACGCGCTGCAGGTGAGAGAGCAAGGGGTCTTTCGACCGTAGTGGTGTGTTGATGCCTCCACACCTGTATGCGCACTCACACCTGTGTGGATGGATGTGTTTCACTCTCACACCCTTCGACCCCTCTCTTATAAACGCCCGTCTTGACGTCAACCTAGTGAAGGCTCGTCTCGCTCATGATTATCATGCCCTTCCCACCCCTCTCCACCACTCCCAACTCTTCTCAACAGCTCCTGGGCGAGATGCTCCACCAGAACCCATTCGGCCCGAGTTTGCGAGTGGCGCCCTTCGAGGTCACCCTGGAGAAGGCGCGCGTCGAGCTGGCAGCCATGGAGGAGAGCCGCCGACGCGCCGAGCAGCAGGAGGCTAGCGAGGGAGGCGAGGGCGACGGTGATGGAGAGGGTGAGGGCGAGGGGATGGAGAGTGCAGGAAATGAAGGGGCAGGAGCAGCGGCTGCAGCAGTGGAAGTGGGGGTGGTGGGGGATTCTGAAGGAGGAGTGGGCGATGATAGCTGGGTGGACTCCCAGGCCACCCAGGGGGACGGGGAGGGGGAGGGAGGCAAGGCAGGAGGCTCTGCTGGTGCTACTGCAGAGGGGCTTTCAGACGGAGCTGCTGGGGTAGCAGGCGTGGCAGGCGCAGCAGGAGCAGCGGGCGGAGCAGGCGCAGCAGGGGCAGCAGGGAAGGCGGTGCTGGGGCGGGCGTTCGGGGTGGAGCAGACGCGCACGCTGGTGGCGTCGCTGAGCGCGGGGCTGCAGTTCTGCCGCCTGCTGGCCGCCGTCACGGGCGCGCTGGCGGCGCTGCTGGGGTCGAGCGCCGTGTCGGACGTGGAGGGCGCGATTCTGCTGCTCACGGCGCTGCAGCACTTCCGCGTGGATGGGGCGAGCGAGCGACTCAAGAAGATCCTGCCACTGGTGAGATGGGATACGAGTGTGGGGAAGGTGAGGAGTGGATGGGTGGGAGTGGGGGTGGGGGTGGGGGGGGAAAGTGTGGAGTGGGGAGAGATGGTAGGGGGAAGAGAGGGATGGCAGTTGAAAGATGGTTGGGAGGGCGCCATCCTGCTGCTCACGGCGCTGCAGCACTTCCGCGTGGACGGTGAGTGAGCGGCTCAAGAAGATCCTGCGGCTGGTGAGATGGGATACGAGCGTTGGGAACGTGACTGGTGAGATGGGATACAGCACATCTGTTCCCTCCATCTCTGCTACGTTGAATTCCTCATTACCCTGTCCTTTTGCCCCTCCCCTCGTCCTCCAACATTCTCCCCCTTCAGGTGTTCTCGCATAACCTAGCATGCGACTTCCATCTCTGCCCTCTCATCTCCCTCTCATCTCTCTCCTTCCCATCCTCCCTCGCTCCCACCTCCTCATGTATTCTCGCACGACCCTGCTGTGCGAGCAGCGGTGGAGGCAGCTGTGCTGGAGCTGCACGTGAAGGGGCGAGCCTCATCCCCTCCCTTCCTTCGCTTCCCCATCCCCCGCAGGTCTTCTCTCACGACCCAGCAGTGCGAGCAGCGGTGGAGGCGGCGGTGCTGGAGCTGCACGTAAAGGGGCGCTCATCGCAGCAGGCAGCGCGCAGCCTCGTGGCTCTCACGCACGGCGCCTCCTCTGGCGACCTGGCGGCGCTGGAAGTGCTGGTGGGCACGTTCGTGCATAATGGAGACGTTACAATGCAAATGGTGAGTGAGACGAGCTGATTCACTTGTTGAGTCGGTTTCAAATCTCCTCTGCTCTACGTTCACTTGAGGAGCCAAGAGACTCTTCTGGCGACCTGGCGGCGCTGGAGGTGCTGGTGAGCACGTTCGTGCACAACGGAGACGTCACCATGCAGATGGTGAGATGAGCAGAATGACGTGTGAGTGCATATGTCTTTGTTCGTGTGGATATGTCTTTGTTGACCTGGCGGCGCTGGAAGTGCTGGTGGGCACGTTCGTGCACAACGGAGACGTCACCATGCAGATGGTGAGTGAGACGAGTGATGTTGAATGGGAGTTTGGTGAGATGAGAGTGGAATTTAGTGAAGTCGCAAAGATGAGAATGACTCTCGAGTGGGGGGAAATGTTTCTGGCGACCTGGCGGCGCTGGAGGTGCTGGTGGGCACGTTCGTGCACAACGGAGACGCCAAGATGCAAATGGTGCGATGAGATGAAAGGGGAGGATTGCGGGGCCAATTTGGTGCTGGGGATGACTTGGGAATGGCAGGTCAAATAGACATTACAACAAACAGGGAGCTACGGTGCAGTTTCCACTGAATCTTCTCGTCTTAACGTTTCATAATGTCTCTATTTCTGTTTTGAACCTTTGAATCATTCGCTCTTTCCTCCTCTCCTCTCCCCTTCACCCCTAACCCCCACCAGGTGACCATCTTATGGGACATCTTCGCTTTCAACCTGCCCGGAGCCACGTCAGCAGAGAGCACAGGCGCGCTGATCCTCCTCTCCATGGCCGCAAAAACCCGCCCGGAAATCCTCAACCACCATCTGAGCGCGCTCCTAGCCATAGGCCTAGGCAGGCGGGCTCAGAGCGACCCTCTGCTTGCTCTCTACACCTGTATCGCCCTGCAAAGGGTTTCTGCGGAGGTTCGGGAGGAAATGGGGGCAGGGCACCGGGTGTTTGCGCTGCTGGAGGGGGTTATTTCAGGCAGCTCGCTGGATCTGCCCGAAAGGGCGAGGTACGGGGTGATAGAGCAGGCGGTGAGGGCGGTTTATGTGCTGCATCCTGCGCCGGAGAGGTACTGTGGCGTGCTGCTGAAGAAGCTTGTAAAGGGGATGTTTGGACAGGGTGTTGCTGTGGGGGGTGGAGGGGGAGGTGGGGGAGGAGGGGAGGGTGAGGGGAGGGAGGGAAGTTGCGTGAGTGGTGTTGTTGATGGTAGTGGGGAGGCCGGTAACGAGGACAAAAATGGTACAGGAACGAGTGGGGAGGAGGGAATGACAAGCAGCAATGGGGATGCTGATGCTGTTGCTGGTGCTGATTCTGACGCTGATGCTCCGAGCACTAGTGCAAGTGGTGCTGATAATGGTGCTGACAGTGCTGGTCTCCCTGCTGCTGGTCCAACTGCTGCTGCTGCTGCAGCTACAGCTGGTGGTGGGAGTGAGAGAGGTTTTGAGACTTCCCTTAGGAGATTTGACGCTGCAAAGCTCTCAGCTTTCGTTTTTGTGACCGGGCAGGCTGCCCTAGAGCACTTGGTCCACGTGGAGAGGCTCGTGCGCCGCATCCGGGCAGCCCGGGCAGCAAAGGAAAAAGCAGAGGCTGAAGCTGCTGCCGAAGCCATGGAGGCCAGCCTGACCGGGAAAAAGCCAAAGGCAGGCAGGAAGAGCACTGGCCGGAAGAGTACAGTCTCTGGGGCAGGGAAGAGGAGAAGCGTCGCTGCCACCCCTGTAACATATGAATACGAGAGTGAGGAGGAGGAGGCGGGAGAGGAGAGTGTGGATGTGAGGGAGGAGGAAGAGGGGCTAGCAGGTGATGGAGGGGAGGGCGGGGGAAGGGAGGATAAGATGGGGGAGGAGCTTGGGACGGCAGTGACAGCAGAGGCGCAGCTAGAGGCGCTGCAGGAGCAGGTGGAGGGAGAGATAGTGGCCATGGAAAAGGGGCTGGAGAGGAGGCGGGGCGAGGGGAGGGAGTACCTGGTGGGGCGGGTAGCGTGGTTCGTCTCGGCGCTGTGCAGGCGGCCTCAGGCGTTTGCGGCGAGTCAGGGCGTGTATGTGTGCGCTGTGCTCTCATTGTCGAAGCTCATGGCCATCGACAGCCACTTCTGGTGAGCATTTCACTTGTCCTCACTCACCGTGACTCACTCGTATTGACTCCCCCGCAGTTCACCTTGTTTTAAGCCGTCTCAAACATGGTTTATGTGTGCGCCATGCTCTCATTGTCCAAGCTCATGGCCATCGACAGCCACTTCTGGTGAGCTTCCCGTCCTCACCGGGACCCAGCTTGACTCACTCACTTTGACTCAACTTTTCTCACTTTGAACTATCTTGACGACCTTCGATGCACCTTGACGCACCCTGACGCACCTTGACGCACCTTGACTCCCAATGACTCAACTCCTCTCCTCCCTTCTCCCCCCTCCTTCCCCACCCACAGCGAGTCCCACCTGCAGCTGCTCTTCACACTCCTCCGCACCCATCCGCACCCCTCTGTGCGCGCCAACGCCATGGTGGCCCTCGGAGACCTGGCCCTGCGCTGCCCCAACCTGCTGCAGCCATGGACGCCCCACGCGTACACCGCTCTCAGCGATGGAGACGCCTTCGTGAGAAGACAGGCGCTCTTGGTGCTCTCTCACCTCATTCTCAACGACATGATGAAGGTGGGCCGTCACAGTGGTTGGGCTCATATGCTCTGTTCTTGGGTACGTCTTTGTGTGGCGGTAGGCACGGTAACGCTGCTGGTGCTCTCTCACCTCATTCTCAACGACATGATGAAGGTGGGTCTGGTTAGATGGCTTCACATGAAGTCCTTAGCCGTGGGCACCCCTCGCGTACACTACACTGCGCCTTATCACTCAGCGCCCTCGTCATCATGTCATGCTGAAGATGCTGTTGCCTATCTGCTCTTTCCCTTCCTCTCTCTTTCCTTGCCCGTCCCCTTTCTCCCCCCACCGCCAGGTGAAGGGCCACATCAGCAGCCTGGCAGTGTGTCTCGAGGACCCTTCCATTCCACACTTGCCCTCGTATTTTCATCTTCCCTTCCATCCCCCTTGTTCTCTCCCCCACCGCCAGGTGAAGGGCCACATCAGCAGCCTGGCGGTGTGTCTGGAGGACCCTGAGCCGCGCAACGCTGACCTCGCCCGTCTTTTCTTCCACGAGCTCTCCAAAAAGGGTGAGTGCTCTCTGCTCTCCAAAAAGGGTGAGTGCTCTCTGCTCTCCAAAAAGGGTGAGTGCTCTCTGCTCTCCAAAAAGGGTGAGTGCTCTCTGCTCTCCAAAAAGGGTGAGTGCTCTCTGCTCTCCAAAAAGGGTGAGTGCTTTCTGCTCTCCAAAAAGGGTGAGTGCTCTCTGCTCTCCAAAAAGTGTGAGTGCTCTCTGCTCTCCAAAAAGGGTGAGTGCTCTCTGCTCTCCAAAATGGGTGAGTGCTCTCTGCTCTCCAAAAAGGGTGAGTGCTCTCTGCTCTCCAAAAAGGGTGAGTGCTCTCTGCTCTCCACTCCGTGCCTGCTCCATCGCTGCCCCATCATATTTCACCCGCCGTTTCCGTCGCTCTCGCCCGTACAATCCTCTCGCCGTGTCCGTCTGTCACCTGTCCAGGTGCCATCTCAGCGTTTGTCACCGCCTCTCGCACGTCTCCAATCCTCACAACCCCTCCACCTGCAGGCTCCTCGCTCGGGTACAGCCTCCTCCCCGACATACTGTGCCTCGTGGCCTTGTGCGCATGCCTCTCAGAGGATGCAGGACCGTTTTACACCTGCACCCTACCCCATCCCACTGTACCTCACCACACTACTTCCTTCCCTCCCACCTCTCCCACCCTTCTGCTCCACCCCCCAGGCTCCTCTCTGGTCTACAACCTACTGCCGGACATGCTGAGCCACATGGCGGTGAATCCGCGCCTCTCAGAGCCCTCGTTGCACGCCATCCTGCGCTTCCTCATCGCCTTCATAGACAAGGACAAGCAGCGCGAAGGGCTCATCGACAAGCTCTGCCACCGCTTCACCAACGCCCACCCCGCATCCTCTTCCTCGGCTACTGCGTCTATTACTGCTGCTGCTGCTGCTGCTGCTGCTGCTGCTGCTGCTTCTCCCAATGTGGTTCCTGCTGGGACTATGGCAGATGCCGCTGCTGCCAATGGCGCTACCAGTGCTGCTGATGCGGATTCCGCGTCTGCTACTTCTCCTGAAGTAATTCCTGCTGTTGCTTCTGAGGAAGGCATCAGCACCAACAGCAGCGACAATGGCGGCAATACCAAGAACGCCAACGGTAGCAGCAGCAGGGGTGGCAGGGATGGGAGGGTGCAGCAGCAGCGCATGGTGGCCTTCTGCCTCTCCCTGCTGCCGATCTCCGAGCGCGGTGCACGGCGGCTGATGGACAACTACAAGGACATGAAGGACGCTCTGGGGGACGCTGCCGTGCTGGAATACCTGAGGACCGCCACTGGCAAGGTGCGTGATCTCCGGGGGTTGTGATGGTGGAATGACTGGGGGTGGCGAATGGCAGCACCACTGGTAAGGTGAACGCGCTTGGACTGGGGGTTGTGGTGGCGGAGTAGCGGAGGCTGATGGACGGCTAAAAGGACATGAAGGACGCTCTGGGGGACGCTGCCGTGCTGGAGTATCTAAAGACCGCCAGTGGAAAGGTGTGTGGGGGTACTGGGTTGTGGTCCAGTGAACTCTTGGGGTGAACGCCCTGGGGGACGCTGCCGTGCGGGAGTATCTAAGAACGGCCACTAGGAAGGTGCGTGGGCTGTGAGGGTGTGGGACTGAGTTGTATTAGGACCGCCAGTGACAAGGTGAGTTGACTCTTGGGGTGCACGGCGGATGATGGACAACTGAAAGGACATGAAGGACGCAATGACAAAGGGAAGAATAACAACCCCTGTTTCCCCAACCCGCTCCCCCCATTCCTTCGCTCCCACCAGGCAAAGAAGTTTGCAAAGCCAGAGCTGGGGGAAGGGTGGAAGAGGTTTGAGGAGCTTACCTGCATGTTACATGCATTGCACATTACAGAATAGCAATCTCTTTTCCAACCACCCCTTTCCTCCACTCCCACCAGGCGAAGAAGTTTGCAAAGCCAGAGCTGAGGGAGGAGTTGGAGAGGTTTGAGGAGTTAATGGGGAGGACGCACGAGGAGAAGAGGGAGGAGGAGGAGGCGTCTGCTGCCGCTGCTGCTGCCATTGCTGCCAAGGCTGCTAAAACGGCTGCCAAAGCCGCTGCCAGGGCTGCTTCCAGGGAGGCTGCTGAGGAGCCTGCTGAAGAGGCTGCTGGGGATGTTGGGGATGCTGGTTCTGGAGATGCGGAGAGTGATGGTCCTAGTGACGAGGCAGAAGCAGGAGAGTTTATGGAGTGTGATAGTGGGGTGGAGGAGAGTGAGGAGGAGGGTGAGAAGGATGAAAAGGTGGAGGAGGAAAGTGCTGGGGAGGAGGAGGCGGTGGATACTCAGGAGGCAGAGGGAGAAATGGACGAAGGGAGGGGGATGAGTGTAAGGAGGAGCAGCCGTGGTGGCGGTGTGAGGAGCAGTGTGGGTAGCAGGGAGGTTTTGAAGGGAGCAGGGAGGGTGCGGGGTGGGGCAAGGGAGGAGGGGGAGAGGAAAGAGAGTGGGAGCAGCAGCGGGAGGAAGAGCAGGAGCAGCATGAAGGGTGGGAGGGCTGGCAGCGGAGGAGGTGGGCGGAGGAGGAAGCTGGTTGCATGGAGTAGCAGTGAGGAGGAGAGTGGAGAGGAGGATGAGGGGGAGAGTGGAGAGGAGGATGAGGGGGAGAGTGTAGAAGCGAGTGAGGATGAAGTGGAGGAGGTGGTGGTGCAGAGGAGTGCAGTACGTAGGGGGAAGGCAAGGAATCAGAGGAGGGCAAGTGGGCTGAAGGAAGGGGAGGAATCAGAGGAAGGAGAAGGGGAAGAGGGAGCGGAGGAGGCAGCGGAGGTAGAGGAGGCAGGGGATGAGACTGAGGGTGTTGAGGAAGTAAGTGACGGTGGGGAGGAGGGGAGTGATATCGAAGCGAGTGAGGGGGAGGGGAGTGAAGTAGGAGAGGAAGGGGGCGAGATGGATGGCATGGATGTTGAGGAAGTGGGAGAGGAGGGATTGGATGAGGATGAGGACAGGGAGGAGGCGGAGGGGTATGAGGAGGATGAGGAGGAGGAAGAGGAGGATGAGGAAGATGGCGATAGAGACATTGTGGCAGATAAGGCCCAGACGTTTAAGGTTGAATTGAGGCCTGTTGGGGAGAGGAAACATCCTGGCAGGCAGGGGGGCAGTGAGGAGAGGAATGGTGGGATAGAGAACGTTGTCTTGAGGCCAGTGGGCGAGAGGAAGGGCAGGGGGAGGGGGCAGAGGAGAGCGGTATTGGATAGTGACAGTGACGGGAGTGATAGTGATGGAGGGGGTGTGACTGAGGGAGGGGGAACAGCCATGAGGCGGATGAAGAACAGACGAGCGGCATTGCTTGGGAGTGAGAGTGAGAGTGAAGGGGAGATGGAGATATGTGGGATGAAGTCGCTCGGAAGGAAGAAGCCTGCCTCTCCCAGGTAAGCGCAGACTTTCTGGCATTTCTGAGTGGTTTTGAGACTTTGATACCCATAAGCAGATGGACTCACCAGTATTTGCTTCGTCTGTATTTTTTTTTTTTTTTTTTTTTTTTTTTTTTTGTGGATGCAGAAACCCATTGCGACCAATCGCCAACAAGAACTAATGATGGGCATGTCATGCAATTAATTACCAGGAACAACACAATATCTTGAACTTAATGTTTACTCCCCTTTTAAATATAGCATATGTATTACTATCCAACTGAGAAATAGTGTTGTGATACATCATGTAGTACAACCAAATATATCTGATCATTTAAATCCTTAGGGAGTTTGCTAAGACCTAGAGGTTATCATTTGATACACTTATTGTTTTGCGGTGTAGTTGAATCATATAGAGACCCTCTTAAAAAGACGAAATCCATGCACACGCCAGGACCTGCACACGTGGTCCGTGAGTGCTGCGCTGTCGGCTTCCAGGATTTCAATTCCCCTTTCCACGGGCTCGTCGTCAAATTCGCTGGCACAGAACTGCTAGGAAACGTAGATTGCCCACGAGAATTTGACGAATCACAAAAAAGCAACCGACATGCGTTGTCATATCTGCTCCTCCTGTGGGCGCGTCTCGTATTCCGCGGCGCGCCACGTCACATTTCACTCCTCTCACTTTTCCCCGTCGGGACTCCCCCGCATTGGGCTTGCCTAGGCAGGTCCCAGAACGGAAATTTTAGAAATACCCCCGTCATTTGCGTTCAATCACATCAACATTTTCAGCTTTTACCTTCTCGTCCGTCACACAGGCAGGAACGAGTGACTGTTGCTGACGAAGGCAAGCACATTCTTCTGCTTGCTGATCAATCCTTCAGCTTCAACTGTTGTTTGCTTTCCGTTCCGTAAACAGCAACCATGGCGGCCCTCGCTTCTTCCCTGTCCGTGTCCTCGCGCTTGGCGATGCCGTCGGCGGCGATGACGGCGAGCAGCAGCAAGCTAAGCGCCTCGAGCTCGTTCGCGCCAAGCGTGAAGCACAGCTTCGGGTGCTCCGCGTCGAGCAGCCGCGTGGTGATGGCGGCGGTCGCCGCCGGAAAGGATAAGCCGAGGGACGGCTCCAAGAAGCCCGCGCAGGAGACGCTGCTCACGCCGCGCTTCTACACCACCGACTTCGACGAGATGGAAGCGGTACGCCCACTCGCCACGCTCCCGCGACGTTTGTTCTCGCAATTTAATAATGGTGTCTCGATCCCCCTCTCCTCGATCCCGAAAACACATGGATCTGCATTGTTTTCCCGATCCTCCATTTTCGGAAAGGAATGCCATAGCTAATCATTCTTGCTTCTCCTTCTCCACACCCCCTTACCCCCCGCTGCCCCCCGATCCGCCGCGATCCCCCCCTTCCCCTCCCTCCGCGCAGCTGTTCAACCGCGAGATCAACCCGTACGTGAACCAGGCGGAGTTCGACGCGTGTCTGGAGGAGTTCCGCGCGGACTACAACCAGACGCACTTCGTGCGCTCGCCCGAGTTCAAGGAGGCGGCCGACAAGATCCAGGGCCGCGCGCGCGAGATCTTCGTGGAGTTCCTCGAGCGCTCCTGCACCGCCGAGTTCTCCGGCTTCCTGCTCTACAAGGAGCTGGGCCGCCGCCTCAAGAAGACCAACCCGTGCATTGCGGAGATCTTCACGCTCATGTCGCGCGACGAGGCGCGGCACGCGGGGTTTCTGAACAAGGCGCTGTCGGACTTCAACCTGTCGCTGGACCTGGGGTTCCTGACCAAGGCGCGCAAGTACACCTTCTTCAAGCCGCAGTACATCCTCTACGCCACGTTCCTCTCGGAGAAGATCGGCTACTGGCGCTACATCACCATCTGCCGCCACCTCATGGCGAACCCCGAGTTCGCGTGCTACCCGATCTTCGGCAAGTTCGAGAACTGGTGCCAGGACGAGAACCGGCACGGCGACTTCATCACGGCCATGCTCAAGTGCTACCCCAAGTTCCTGACGGCGTGGGACTCGAAGCTGTGGGCGCGCTTCTTCTGCCTCTCCGTGTACGTGACCATGTATCTCAACGACCACCAGCGCGCCGCCTTCTACCGCAACCTGGGGCTGGACGTGAAGCAGTTCGACCTGCACGTGATCAAGGAGACGAACCGCACGTCGGCGCGCATCTTCCCCGCCGTGCTGGACGTCGACAACCCCGAGTTCGAGCGCAATCTGGACCACCTCGTGCGCCTCCACGAGAGCATCATCGCCGTTGATGCGAACCAAGGGACGCCCGAGCTGCTGCGGCGCGTGCAGAAGTTGCCGCTGCAGGCGGCGTTTGTGGGGGAGCTGCTCGCCATGTACCTCATGCGCCCCGTCGACGCGGGCTCCGTCGAGTTCGACCAGGAGGAGGCGCGCATCGTCTATTGAGAGCCACGGAACCCTTCCTAAAGAAATGCAGTTATTTTTTTCTCTCTTTCTTTCCTTCTGTGGTACAGCCAGCCGCTGGCCCTGAATTTGTGTAAATTCCCCCTTCAATAATAAACGGGTTTGCCCTTTTTCTTCGGCTCCACATCTATACTGTGATGACTCTGCAATGTGATGTCCTTGTGCTGGTTCAAAGGCAGCGGGTTTTTACTCTGGCAGCTGCTCTTGCTGATGTGGGTGGCTGCAGCTGCTGTGAAGTTGAAGTTGCTGGAGTAGCAGGACGCTGCGTAGGGGGGAGATGGTCAAGGGAGGACGTGGGGGCAGACAGAGAGTGAGATGCCGTACAACAGGGTGCGTCTGAGTTTGCATCTCCCCCCCTACCCTTGATTCATTGTTTCTCATTCTCTTGCATTCCTCCTTGCTTCCAAGGTACCCTGTTTCCATCCTTGTCCCCTGCATCTCTCGTGGTCCTGAGACGAGACATTTCACTTTAGCTTTGATTGGTCCTGCGTCTGCCTTTCCTTGGCTCCTGTCATCGCTAACCCTCCCTTCCCTCCACCTGTTTGCTTTGCTTTCCTCACCTTTAGCTTTGCTGGATTCTTTGCCTTCGATCACATTTACCATACCCTGAGCATCAAATCTCCTTTCCCATCCCATCCCATCCTCTCATCATACGCTACCTCTAACCAATCCTTTTCCTCACTCACCTCGCCGCCACCCAGCCCTGTCCCTGCGCTCTCTCCTCTAACCCATCACAGACAAGTGCACCTGTATGTACTCTCATTTCGAGGTTCAAAATCCTCACTCCTGCCCCCCACACCGTGTCTCCTTACTGTAGAGAAAGAAACTGACATTACATATTATGTATGGAACGTTACCTATGCTAAAAAGATTTTGGATGCACACATGATTTTCCCGGATAAAAGACTCAGGGGAAGTTCTGGAAAATCACTTGGAAGTTGTAAGGGTGGATGACTTGATATGACCCTGGATTTTTATTGAATTTTGAGATCTATACGTGGTGATTCTGTTCAGCATGTAGAAAATATAATTCATTGATTTTGATACCGCAACTCACGGCGGATTTGACAGTTGCCTGGCGTTCAGCTATAGCGTCAAGGATTGTGTACGGACTGGCGGTCACTGATGAGTGTAGAAGATCAAGTAGCCCGTCTCGGGTGCTATAAAGGCGAGAGGGCTCTAAAACAATCTGTAATGAGCTCGTGGCTTATTTCGCACCCTCGTACCCGCACTTAGGTTTCCCACCACACCTCATCGCTGGAAGCGGAAATGGAGGTACTGGAATCAGTTCGATTAGTGGATCCCATCGGGCAGTCCGGGTGGAAGAGAAATGCAGCCGTGTGACGTGTGACGCGTGACGATCTCGAACGCGGTCAAATTCTTCGAACGCACTGGAAATTTCAGGATCATGATTAACCACACTAAACCACCCAACATCCCCTTCAGAGTACAATCGTCTCATCCAAATGAATTATGGATTGGAACTTGAAACGCGTTACCCAACTTTCTTCTTGGCAATCGCTATGGTGGCTGCACTGTGCGTGGAGCTGCGCTTGAGCAACATTGTGCAAACTTCCCTTTCAGACCATAAATACCCACTTGGGTTCCTCCGATACCAGTCCCACCCATGCATCACCAACCTGCCATTCTCAGCCAAGCCTCATCAGCTAGTAATCATGGCTCGCTTCACCGTGCTTACGGCTCTCGTTCTCCTGCTTGCCGTCACCGTCACTCTCGCATCATTAGCTTCCACGGCTGCTGCTCGACCTGTTCGGTTACTACTTCCCAACTGTAATGGGATGACTTCTGATGGTAAGTTGCAAGATTCAAGCGAAGTGGGAGTTGCGGTTTGACCCTTTCATCTTCGATGGGCACTAGCGCGCACCTCGTTTGGCAAACAAGACATCTTTCTGAAATGGCTGGCACTCCCCGCAGCTAGTAGCTGCGGACATATTTTTTTTGTTGGTTCCTCAGTTGCACCCACTTCCCCCAACCCCACCCCTCACCATGCCTGCGTACCGATTTTAATTTTCTTCCTATTGGGCTGAGGCAGGGGCCACGACGTGCATGAACGTCAAGTTCATGAATGCGCGCAAGGGCGGCCACTGCAACTGGCAAAAGGATGAGCCGGTGGATGTCTGCCAGGCCAAGCTCGACCGATGGAACAAGGATTGCGAAGGCAATAGTGAGTCCGTCGCTCACATCCTTATGACTCGGGTTTATCGCAAATAAAAATTTCACCAATATTTTGAACAAATGAGCGTAACCGATCCATGCGTAACGTAACGTAATGTAACTTCTCATCCTTAGCGTTGCTGTTCTGACTCTCTTTTTGTGTTCTCCTGCACAGGCGTCGATATGCCGTTTTGGGCCCTGTTCTCAAAGACGAAGAGATGCAAATGACAGGTTTCATGGTGGAAGCGAAGGAGCGTAAAGATAGATCTCTACGTGCTGGTTCTAGAATTAGGGGTGATATGTGTGGTTACACTGTTTCCATTCAGTGCAGTTGTGAAGGAAGGGCGTGTTGTATGTCGTGTATATTGAGGTTGGGTTTCTGGGGATATTTTGCATAAGGCAACAAACATGAGGCTCTAAAACACTGGTAGTAAACGAAACACGCGAACGTTCAGTATATCATGTGTTCTCACGTGTTTGGTAAGTGGTATAACACGTTTGGCCACAAATTATTGGTGGAGATTCACGTCTTCCCGCCTGCTTACGACCTCTTCGTTCTCCCGCTTGCCGTCACCATCACTCTCGCTTCCACGGTTGCTCTGAACCAGGGAAAAGATGCGCCACTGTGAAGGCTAGTCTATGGTCGAAAAGGGGCAAACCCGTTTATTACTGAAGGGGAAATTTACACAACTTCAGGGCCAGCGGCTGGCTGTACCACAGAAGGAAAGAAAGAGAGAAAAAAATAACTGCATTTCTTTAGGAAGGGTTCCGTGGCTCTCAATAGACGATGCGCGCCTCCTCCTGGTCGAACTCGACGGAGCCCGCGTCGACGGGGCGCATGAGGTACATGGCGAGCAGCTCCCCCACAAACGCCACCTGCAGCGGCAGCTTCTGCACGCGCCGCAGCAGCTCGGGCGCGCCTTGGTTGGCATCAACGGCGATGATGCTCTCGTGGAGGCGCACGAGGTGGTCCAGCTTGCGCTCGAACTCGGGGTTGTCGACGTCCAGCACGGCGGGGAAGATGCGCGCCGACGTGCGGTTCGTCTCCTTGATCACGTGCAGGTCGAACTGCTTCACGTCCAGCCCCAGGTTGCGGTAGAAGGCGGCGCGCTGGTGGTCGTTGAGATACATGGTCACGTACACGGAGAGGCAGAAGAAGCGCGCCCACAGCTTCGAGTCCCACGCCGTCAGGAACTTGGGGTAGCACTTGAGCATGGCCGTGATGAAGTCGCCGTGCCGGTTCTCGTCCTGGCACCAGTTCTCGAACTTGCCGAAGATCGGGTAGCACGCGAACTCGGGGTTCGCCATGAGGTGGCGGCAGATGGTGATGTAGCGCCAGTAGCCGATCTTCTCCGAGAGGAACGTGGCGTAGAGGATGTACTGCGGCTTGAAGAAGGTGTACTTGCGCGCCTTGGTCAGGAACCCCAGGTCCAGCGACAGGTTGAAGTCCGACAGCGCCTTGTTCAGAAACCCCGCGTGCCGCGCCTCGTCGCGCGACATGAGCGTGAAGATCTCCGCAATGCACGGGTTGGTCTTCTTGAGGCGGCGGCCCAGCTCCTTGTAGAGCAGGAAGCCGGAGAACTCGGCGGTGCAGGAGCGCTCGAGGAACTCCACGAAGATCTCGCGCGCGCGGCCCTGGATCTTGTCGGCCGCCTCCTTGAACTCGGGCGAGCGCACGAAGTGCGTCTGGTTGTAGTCCGCGCGGAACTCCTCCAGACACGCGTCGAACTCCGCCTGGTTCACGTACGGGTTGATCTCGCGGTTGAACAGCTGCAAGGGGCGAAACCGCGGCGGATCAGGGGGAAGGGATGGGGATGGGGGCCCGGGAAAGGAAACAAAGAAACAAGAATGATTAGCTCTGGCTTTCGAGCTGAGAATGGAGGATCGAGCAAATGATCATGCAAGTCGATGCGATCGAGGTGAGGGGGATCGGTATACAATGAAAAATCATGACGAAACGCGGTGGCGGTGTTTGCCGTATCGGGGAGAGGGGGATCGGGAGACAATGACTAATAGGCGAGAAGAAACGCTGCGGGAGCATGGAGAGTGGGCGTACCGCTTCCATTTCGTCGAAGTCGGTGGTGTAGAAGCGCGGCGTGAGCAGCGTCTCCTGCGCGGGCTCCTTGGAGCCGTCCCTCGGCTTGTCCTTCCCGGCGGCGGCCGCCGCCATCACCACGCGGCTGTTCGGAGCGGAGCACCCGAAACTGTGCTTCACGCTCGGCGCGAACGAGCTCGCGGAGCTCAGCTTGCTGCTGCTCGCCGTCATCGCCGCGGACGGCATCGCCAGGCGAGAGGACACGGACAGGGACGAAGCGAGGGCCGCCATGGTTGCTGTTTGCGGAACTGAAAGTAAACAACAGCTGAAGACGAAGGCTTGATCAGCAAGCAGAAAAATGTGTTTGCCTTAGCCAGCAGCGGTCGCTCGTTCCTGACTGTGTATCGAAAGAATGAAAGCTGCAAGTGTCGAGCAAAAATGGAACTCTACTTGGTGCGGGCAATTCGTGAGAATTTGAAGTTGCTATGTATCCCCGATGGTGAGGTATGACGTGACGAACCGCGGTTTTTGCCAAGTTCGTAGGGGATATGACAGCGCATGCCCCGGTTTTCATTTTCATTGGTGGACCTGGCGCGGCAATCTCGAGTCCTTGGGCTTCCAGTGCCAGCGAACTTGTCAACTACAGGTGGAATCCCAAAGATGGGGACAGCAAAGCAATTCATGTTACCACGTGTATCGCCATACCAGTGCGTCAGGTTTGCATTGCTTCAGGCAGCGATGGCGAAGCGGAGGCACGGCAACTCTTTCAGAC